TTTTTCATTCTTACAATGGGTTTTGTATTTTGAGTAACTTACACCCTCATGTACATAACTAAGTATATTCAAAGAAAAATAAAAATTATAATTCTAGCCACTAGCTAAGTTTCAATGTTTTATTTAAATAAATGGTGAACTGGTTGTTTCAAAAAAAAAAAGATATTTAGAAACTTGTTAGTCAGCGTGTAAATTTAGCGCGTCCAAGAAAATGAAGAACTCCCCAACGTTAACAAATCAAGTATCCCCTGTTTTCTAAAACCCTCAATATATAAACCCTCTTTATCAACAATTATTCTTCGTCAATTACATTCATCAAAGTTGTTGCCTTCTTAATTACAATCTCCCTCTCTTTCTTTAAAATTTTCCTTCTTTTCTCCATGGGAATACTAATGGAAGACGATGTTGATGGTGGGTCGAAAGAGGAATCCTGCATTACTGATTTCGAATGTATAGATGTTGAAGAGCGTGAAAAAGAGGAAGCTTTTAGAAAGAATCCGTTTATGTGTGAGCATTCTATTGATCACTACTACTATCTTCTCCCAAGGGCTAAAAGAAGCAGAATTTTCAGAAGAAACAACCCTCCTCCTACTGTTATGCCGTCTCAATCAATGTCACAGAAAAAGGGTCTCAAGATTCGAATCTCTCTTAAAAGTAAAACAATTGAAGAAGTTGATCAAGACCTTTCCATGGAGAAAAACAAGACTCAAACTCTGTTCGGTGAAAAACAGAGTAAATTGGAAGATAGAGAGAAAAAGACTGAAACTGTGTTGGATGAAAAACAGAGTAAAGCAAAAGACAGAAAGAGAAAGAGAAGAAAGATTTGTAAACCAATAATTGATCCTCCAGTTTTGCCAGATGAGTTGAAGGAGATGATTTCAGGAATGGGTGTTCAGATTTCTCAAGTGAAACTCGTTATTCAGAAAGTTCTTTATGATACAGACTTGAGTTATAAGCAAGTGCGTCTTTCAATCCCCATCAACCAAGTGGAGAATAAGGATTTCTTGACACCCCAACAAAAAATGGTATTGGAGACGAGAGATATTGTGTCTAACAAAAAGAGCAAGATTCAGTTCAACTTGATTGAGCCTTCACTTGAAAAAACAAAAATTCATTTGGCAAAATGGGACATGAGTAACACCTCTAATTATGTGTTATTGAATGGCTGGATGCAAGTAGTAGAAAGGAATATCCTCAAGTCTGGAATGGTAGTGCAGTTATGGTCATTTAATCAAGATTTGGTTCCATGGTTGGCTCTTGTTTTGGTTCGATAATAATTTAGACGTTGATTTCATTTGTAACTATTTAGTACAGTTTGCCAACTTTTGTGTAGGATTAGCGTCCTAGTAAACTTCTTTTGTTTGTTTTGATTGATATCGTTTTTAGTGTATTTGAATATAATATAACTTTTTACACTAAGATTCTTTATTGCCTTTACTTTTAGTTGCTACTTCACTTTTTCTGTTTTGTACTCTTAACTAGAGAGGATTAACACAGTACTCTAAACTATGTCAGCTATCATCAGCTGCAGTACTGGTAACAATACACACAGTGCTCCATATCTGCATTGTGTTATTAAGCTGCCTTGCAGGATTGTGTTGCATAACTTACTCGATTCGGTACTGTCTCGACCTCTTTCTTTCCATTGGCCCAAAAACTTGGTGATGATGCTACAACCACATGGTTTAAATGGAATAAAATAAAAAATGACTGTCCTTTTACAGCATTAGTGATTTGATTTCGACACATAGAAAATGTAAATGGATCTTTCTACACTAGTCATTAGTTTCCTCTTCAAGATAAGGCGGGAGCTCACCACTTCCCCTTTCAGGTGGTTCCTCCATATAGAATCAACATCAAATAAGAGATAGTTGTAGTATCCTGACAAAAATAAGTTCATACTGATCTTTTTTTTTAATTGAAAACCAACCACGCTTACGATATCATGGAGATCTGATCATTGATAATTCTTTTCATAATATGAGTTGAACTAAGGAACAATAGATAAGCAAATAGCTTACTTACACTGTAAAAACACCAGATCATATTCCGTTGTATTCAATGAAAATGGTTTTTCACTAAGCTGCAGAATGGATTTTGTCACTGCCGAGTAGCAAGGCTTCAATGGATTTTGTTTCCAGATACACAAGTAATAATGCATTCTGACCTACGATATCTTACACTTTCATTCATTAAAGAGCTCCATCAAGCGTTCTGCAAAGATTATTAAATGTTCCAAAATTACTTAAAGTGGTATAAACAGAAGCCACAACACACCCTTTTTTTTTCCTTTGAAGTGCGGATTTGCATAAATAATATCATATGCAGAATCATGTACTCAACAAACATACGATATTTTACTCTATTATAGAGAAAAAGAGGCAAGTCAAAATATTTGTGTTTGTAAACATAGTCAAGTTGATAGGTATACGGTATACCAGGATCAAATGGAAGATTTCATTAGTTAGTTAGTTGGTTGATCGGCTGTTAATTCATAATTGGTGATGAGCTATCATAGTTTGTTAATACGACTCAACGCAATGCTCTCACTTGGGATGTAACACACATAAGTTGTGATCAATACAATTTCCTCGTTCATTGATGGAGTTATGAATTTGTGAGCTCATATTTTGTTAGGAGCATCTTTGTATGTTTCATAAATCCTAAGATGCTTTATATACTTTTTATTGGAATTCCACATCCATTCTCCTTAAAAAAATAACCATCAAGAGTAGTCTCAATTTTCATGAAAAAATCATTAGGATACACTAAATCTTCAAAGATCTCATCTTAGTGTTTTTTGTATCAAGAAATTTTGCATCTACTTACTTCTCTGGAATTTCATCATTATCCATAGCTTATTTACATTTTGTTTGGATGGTTATAATCTCTGAGTTGTACTACTAGTTCAAATGCAATATCATGTCGAAATACCGATTCGATAGGAGTAGGCTGCCCCAACTTAGCAACCTTGAATGTATCACACTCATGTTTCGGGAGTGAAATGAGTAGAAGGTATATATCATTCAACTTTAGAAATTAAAATTGGTGATATTGGTTTAGTTAAATAAGATTAAATAACTTTCACACATAGCAAACATAAAAATCATATTTGTATGCTATAGATATAGTTTACAAAATCGTGCTCCATAGCAAACATAAATATGTATATTTCGCTATACATATATAAAAAAAATTGTATAATTCACTACACATATACAAAAAAGTCAGTTGTATAATTCGTTATACATATACAAAAGAAAGCAGTTGTATACAAAAGATCTATTGTATAATCTGTGTATGTATAAAACGAGAAAGAGAGAAAGACAAAATAAAATTGGGCAGGGGGATATTTGTATTGTATAATGATAAGTGTATAGGACGAAGATATATTTATCTGCGTTTATACAAATATAAATGCAATTTATACATTTCGTTTCTATTTGTATAAGCGAGAGAGACGAGGGTGATGAGCGAGATCTGAGAGAGTGGCGGGTGAGATCTGGGAGAGGGGAACGAAAATATATGCAATATATACAATTTCCTTTCGCGTTATACAAACACAAACACATTTTATACATTTGTGTTTGTATAAGAGCGAGACTGCCACCAAACTAGAGTAGCGAGTGAGATTCCACCTTGGGAGAGAGACGAAAATAACAATAGTTTGCTATTATATATAATTTTTCCTAAATAAAATGCGGACTTGGTTAGAGTAATTACAAATTTTGGGGTATATATTAATATATGAAAATTTTGAAAAGTCTCCCCACCCATTTTAAATTTTAAATTTGCCCTATTTCATTATCTTTTCCGTCCTCAAACTAGTCATTAATTTCACTCTTAGGGTGTGTTTGGTACGAAGGAAAATGTTTTCCATGAAAAATGTTTTTTTAGAAAATGTTTTCTTGAACTTTCTCATGTTTGCTTGCTGACTAGAAAATATTTTCCGAAAAAATATTTTATTGTTCTTTTTTAGTAAGAAATATTTTTGGAATTTTTTTTTATCTTTTACTAGAGTAGAAAATAATTCTTGAAATTGATTTTTTTTTTTAAAAACAAACTTAAATTTTTTTTCATGGTGGGGGTGGGGTGGAGTAGTGTGGGGGTTGGGGCTGGTAAGGGGCTAGTGGGTTGGGGGTGGGGTGGGTAGGGGGCTGGTGGGGGGGAAAGGTTGGAAGAGAGTTTTAGAGAATGTTTTCCTTAATTATTGAAAGGAAGTCATATACCTTAAATTTGAGGAAAATGAGTTGATTTGGAAAACATCTTCCAAAACACTTGACACAACCAAACATGAGAAAATTGGAAAATATTTTTCCGGAACATGTTTTCCTCCATACCAAACACACTTGTTAATTTTCAAAGACATAATACATAAATGTGTCATTTAACTTGGATTCGAATTACATTTATGCCCTTCAACTTTGGGTGTGCACAAGTAGACACTTAAACTTGTATAAAGTTGAACAAATTGACACACATGTCCTACATATCTTTTTTTGTCCTACGTGGTTTACGTGGTGTCCTACGTGTATTGTGTCATGTAAGACTTATGTGTTTATTTATTTAAAAGTTAGATAGTTAAAGTCCTGTTTGTGCATTATGAAAGTTGGAAGTCAAAGTTAAAATTTGAAATCAACTTTAGGATCCAATATATGTATTATGCTAAATTCAAATATATTGATTAATAGGTGATAGTAGTTAATACTCGAGAACAATTTCACAGACACCGATATTAAAAAAATTGTGTGAATAATAATAATAATAATAATAATAATAATAATAATAATAATAATGTGTGAAAACACTATGCATATATATATAATTTCGTGAAAATAACAATGTCTTTAAAAGAGTCTTAATAGGAATATAACTGTCACAGTTCTGATTCATTCCAATCTTTTCAGACGATTAAGAGATTTATCAGTAGAAGAAATAAATATATTTAATGACGTAATGTCTTAACCATACCTCCATTAAACAAATAAGACTTTAATTGATTTGTGTATGATTATATATATTAACCATATATTACTAATACTTACATTACTGTATTCACGTATTAAATAACCCTAAAGCTGATGAGGTTAGGGAATATGTTGGGAGAGAAGGCGGCAAAACTGGTGCATTTTAGTGGTCGAAGAACACAATTTTAAGAGCATAAAAGTTTAGGAGCAAAAATTTCAAAAAATATATAGATTTTTATTTTTTTTTGCATTCCATGAAAAAAAGTTACTGTGAAGTATAAAAGCATATTATTTTTGGATGATTTAGTAGCGTGTGCGTCCAAGAAATCGAGAATTCCCAATGTCATTGCTTTCTAATAGTTTTTCTATTTATCTCTGTTTATGGAGATTTTCTTTTTCCATGGGAATTGTAAATGAAGATGATGGTGGTGGCGGCGGGCGGAAAGAGGAATCGTGCATTACTGATTCTGAATGTGAATGTGTGGATGATGAAGAGCATGAGAAAGATGAAACCTTTAGAAAGAATCCATATATGTGTGAACATTCTGTTGAACACTACTACTATCTTTTGCCAAGGGCTAGAAGAAGCAAGATTTTCACAAGAAAGAAGCCTCTGATTGTTATCCCGTCTCAATCAACGTCACAGGAAAAGGGTCTCGAGATTCGAAACTCTCTTAAACGCAAAACAAACGAAATAGTTGATGTAGGTCTTCCCATGGAGAAAAAGAAGACTGAAAATCTGTTTGATGAAAAACAGAGTAAATCGGAAGATGCAAAGAAAAAGCGAAGAAAAGTTAAGCCAATAATTGATCCTCCAGTTTTGCCGGATGAGTTGAAGGAGAAGATTTCAGGAATGGGCGTTCAGATTTCTCAAGTGAAACTTGTAATTCAGAAAGCTCTTTATGATACAGATTTGAGTTATCAGCAAATGCGTCTATCAATCCCTGTCAACCAAGTGGTGAGTAAGGATTTCTTGACACCCCAACAGAAAATGGTGTTGGAGACCAAAAATGTGTCTAACAAAAAGACCAAGATTCAGTTCAACTTGATTGAGCCTTCACTTGAACAAACAAAAATTCATTTGACAAAATGGGACAGGAGTAACAGCTCGAGTTATGTGTTATTGAACAACTGGATGCAAGTAGTAGAAAGGAATAAACTCAAACCTGAAATGGTAGTGCAGTTGTGGTCATTTCATCAACATTTGGTTCCATGGCTGGCTCTTGTTTTGGTTCCGATATAACTTAGATGTTCATTTTATGTATAACTATTTAGTGCAGTTTGCTAATTTTGATTAGAATTAGTAATTTTTTGTTTTGACATGAATCTTTTTAGTTTATTTTTATACTGCAAAAGTATGAAATATAGCTTCTTGAAATAAGATTTTTTGTTGCCTGTTGGTAGTTCACCTTTTCTGTTTTGTACTCTAAATTGGATAAATCATCAACTTTTCTGTTTTGTATGCGTAATTGTTGTCCAATCCTCTAGCCAGAAGATATATGTTGTGTACTTTATAAGATACACATCACCTAATAGTTTGTCAATCATGTAATAGCTAACTAAACCAATATATAAGATCGCTGCACCAGTCATCGCTCTTTACCAAGGCCATTCCATGTCGTCTTCTAGTTCTGCCAAGGCAGCCTCCTCAGCATATTTCTCATGATAGATATCAATGTCACTATCATCTTGTGTTCCAGCATCTATAGGACCTTCATGAAAGCATGTTACTGGTCAGTAACAAGAAATATTGTAGAAACAGAAAGCTTATAAATCTTAAACCTGCAGTACTTACTCTGCCCAAAATCATCGAATAACTTTTGGTACAAAATAAACCTCATTGTTGCTTGTTTCCTTTGGTGTCCATTAAACAAAAAGTAGTCAGGGTGAGAAAAGCAGTAATGATTCCATGCTAGCTGATACACGGGCATATATCTTTCCATGACACACTGTCCAGATAGATAAGCACTGGGATCACTACTTTTTATTGCAAGCTCGTTTGATGGTACGGATAGATCTGCTTCTACTGTGTCACACTCAAGGCTAACTCCGAAATCTTTCATCTGAAAAGTATTACTCCACCCTATTATTGAGACGTTAACCTCGTCATTAGCTTCAAGGTACTTTCCCAATTTCCAGTGGCATAAAAATGTCAAGTTCTCATTTGGTCCTGGAATGCCTATGAATGTAGGCTCATAAATCCATTTGACACCCTTGGACAAATTATTCAGTTTGATGAAGAAGGAATACCAGTTCGCAAGTTGGTTTTCTTCCCAGCATCGGGATTTCTGATGATCGGAACGTGAATATACAATGCAGATATTAAGTCCTATTATCTTTGTATTAGTAAGAGAATTCACTTTCAGAGTCAGTAAGTTTTCTTCGCCCTTCATGCTGAACCAACTTGGGATCTCGCTTCCAGGAAAGTAAGTGCTGAAGATGCCAAACTCATAGAGTCCCTATGGGAAAAAAGAAATATTTAGCAGATTTCACTCGTTCCTTCTTATGAAACATGTTTTGTTAATTGTCGAGGTGGTTTTAGTAGGAAAGAAGCTTACAAGACAGATGAAACTCATTTGACAGACAAAAGTTACCTGCACTGAATTTTTCTTTTTTGTGTTGGTAAGCCTATTAAATAGTTCCACTTCTGCGTTTTGTATATCATCCAGGTTTAGATGGTTCAGAGTGTTCACCATTTCCTCTTCAAAATTTCTTACTGGCTCCAGCTTGAACAATCCAGGAATCTCAGTTAGTTTCTCGCTGCCTCTAACATCCAAGAATAATCTATGAGTCTCCAATAAGCTTGGCATAGTTGTAACTCTTTCTAGTAATGTGCATTCTGTAGCCTTCAGCTTGATGAGCGTTGAAGGAAGATTGGGGAGTGATTGGAGGTTTGGGCACGCGTCTAGCCAAAGGTCCTGAAGCATACATAGATTTGTTATACTCTGTGGTAGGTTAGAGATCAGGTTTCCACTTAGATTCAAATGGCGTAAGGAGAAGAGGTTGTTAACACCAAGTGATAGAGCATCATCTGTTAGCTTGCATCTTGCCAGACTTAAGCTAACCAGGGAACTTGATAAAGAATATAAAGAGAAGTTGTCATAATCTGGGGATTTTGTTAATTTGGATGACCAAGATTGCCAGAGTGCAACCCATGATTTCTCGTGACCGTAATTAATTTCATCTGCATGAAGGGTTCTCAAAGATTCCAGATTTCGTAGATCGATTGTTGATAGGGCAAGTCCATAACAGCCAGAAATGATGAGTGTTTCCAAGGACTTGAGCTTACAAAAGCTTCTTGGAAGATTCGATAGACTCTTGCAGTCTCTCAGGTTCAAGAGAACAAGTTCCTCTAGATCTCCAATCGATTCATGAATATGGAACAATCTTACACAATCCTTCAAAATGAGTTTTTCCAGATTAGGAAGCCCGGAAAAATCAGGAGTTCTTCTTAGGAAATGAGAATGACTGAAATTGAGAATTTTTAATAACTTGAGCATCTGCAATAGCCAATAACAAGTATATCAGGATTCAGGTCTATTAACTTACTATCAACTTCCCTACTGTCAATGCCAAAACTGACGATAAAAACTTTACCCTAGTTCCCTCCCAGGCTTGTTGCAATCTGCTCCTCCTCATATCCAGAGCAACCAGGCTCTCCAAAGGCAAATCCTTTGGAATGGACTTCAAAAGGAATCCACGCCAATGAAGCAATTTTAATCTCTTCGGAAACCATTGGTAGCTACCAGTGAATTTTGCTTCTGTTAGCCGTAGAATTCTCAGCTTCTTCATTCTTGAAAATGCATCGATTTCCAACTGTACAACATTTGAAGTTTCTGAAAAGACATTTCTGAACAGCTCAAGAACAGTTAAACTCTGTCTCCCTTGTGAGTTAGCATCAGTCATTCTCAGTGATCTCACATCAAGTTGCCGGTGCCCAACATCATTTCCGTTCAATTTTTGACCAACATATTCTACTTTCTTCAGCATCCGGATGTCAAGAACTAGACCTTGGATCCTTTCAGTACCCTACAGGAAAACGAAAAATCATACATTAAGGCACATAGATATGGATGATTGCACGTTAAAAATCTCAGAGTCAGATTTGTTACTGTCTTCCCCTGCAATATGTTAAAGGCATCTTTGTGTTTCCAAATCCTGCTTTGACTACTAGGCTCCCAAGGGGATTCTTCCCGAATAATTTCTCTTCCCATGTCTTGAAGTAATTGATGCACCATCAGTTTGTTATGGTCAATTTCCAATAGGCATCGGTCAACAAGAATCTGAATGCCAATGACCGAAAAGAAACCACATCCATCAAGTATTCTTACTGCATAATCTTTGTCCTTACCAGCAAAGAAACAGACAATATCGAGGAATAGGTTTTGAACATTATCATCTGGTAGACATTCATAACTTATCCTTAGTTTTTCAAGGATTTTACTGTCTGGAATATCTTTCAATTTCCTTAATGCACTTCCCCAAATCTCTATACTTAAGTCACCAAGAGACGAACCCAAAACTTTAAGAGCTAACGGAATTCCTTTACAATGATGTACAACATCTATCGTAAGATCCATATATTCTAACGGGGGGCTTTCTTCACCAAATGCATACCAACTGAACAACTGAAGTGATTCTTTGGCATCCAAAGTCTTTAGCTTATACATCCTACATCTACATGCTTCAGTAGAACTTAATAAATGACCATTTCTCGTTGTTATGATAATTTTGCTACCTGGAGAAAACCAATCCCTCATACCGAGTACCGCATTTAGCTGATCTATGTTGTCTATATCATCAAGAACAAGAAGAACTCTTTTGCAGCTGATAGCTTCTTGAATCTTGACGGACCCTTCATTAACATTATATATCTTTTCGACATCCTTCCCAAGAATATTGGAAAGAAGTTGTCTTTGTAAACGACCTAAACCGTCATACTTTTCTAAAACTTTTCCCACATCAGCAAGGAAGCTACTGCCTTCAAATCTATGAAAATTCAGGTTATAAGCTGTTTTAGCTATCGTAGTTTTGCCAATACCTCCCATACCATGTATAGCAAGAATATCGACATAATTGTATCCCTCTTTTAACCACAAATCAATTTCTTTGACTCGACAATCTATTCCGACTGGACGAGGAGCAACACTTAATACAGTACGTCTCAATTTTCCTACAACCACCTTAACAATCTCTTGTATAAACCTTGATTCAGATCTGAAATAGTTTTACAATTTAGTAAACAAGAATTGAATGACCTAAACAGATAATTTTATTAAGAAAAACATTACCCATCAGCTTGGTTCTGTAAGACCATTCCTCCCAAATCAGCAACTTCTCTCAAATCAGCCCTCCATTGATCCACCTTCTCTGTTTTATACCTCTTTTCGAAGTTAAAGAAAGGTTGTTCAAACGTCCCTTTCTGCTTCCTCACATCTGATGGATCGACATCATAAAATACAGGGAGAAGAAAATTCCCCAAAGATTTTCTGGTTTGAATCATATGGGTGAGTTCATCAAGGCATCTATGTGAAGAAGCATAGTCTTTTGAAATGATAGCTATTAGAATTCTTGATTCTTGAATTGCATTCTGCAGCTTTTTATCATCAGGTCTAAATGAAGGGATACCAGCAGTTAACAAAGCTGTATGAAGATGATCTCCAAAGGTATTGCTTATGAAACTTAAAAATACATGATGAACAAATTGATGAGACATTTTCTTCTTTTGATTAAGTGGAATCAAAGTGAAGATAAGCAATGGAGCACAAGTGTAGGGAAGGCTACTTTAACAGTCAACTAATCATGTTTAATATTCTATTTTGAAGTGGACTTTGTCTCTAATTGTCTTCATCCGTAAGTCACAAAAATACATTTAAATAATTTTTTTTGTTTCTTATCAAGGAAAATGCACAAATACCCACTCAACTATGTTCAAAATCATAGAGACAAACTTATACTACACTAAGCTCCTATTGACCCTTTGAATTTATTTTATTAACTAGTTCTGGAAACATGCTTTGCACGTTTGACCTCTATTGCTGTTATAATTTATACAGGCCCAAGATATAAAATTGTTCGACATTGTCTGACGTACTCCTATGTCTTTTTATGCATATAACATAAACTTTTTTTAGTGTTTACTTTTTGCCTAGAACTTAAATATCAACATTTTTTTTGGTGAGTGATGAGCAATCTTGGGATATAAATACTCCAACAATCATTAAAAATAAAAAAATGAATGAAGGAAACAAACCAATAAGAAAAATAGTGACCAATAAAAAAATATTACAAGAACTATTAGATTATGTGTTTCTCCAACAACCATGAAAATAAAAAATGAAAGAATACACAAATCAATAGAAAAATAGTGACCAATAAAAAATACTCCTTACAGAAGAACTATTAGATGATGAAAACAAAGTGTGGTGGATTAATATTTTTTATCCGATTTATAAAGGAAGAAATTAAG